TTTTATATCTGTGATCTCAATTGTGGACCCTTGGATTTTCATCATTTTCAGGACATCAGTATTTCGGATGTTTTTTCACAAGATTTTCATAAGGCCGCTTACGTATAGAAATAGGCACATCATTGCCTGCCAAACTCAGATGGAAAGTCTTGCAGTCTCCGGTAAGCTGAGGAACGTATCACATTTACCACCAAAGACCCATGCTAATAACAACTCTTCCATTTAAATCCTCCGAAGTTATCTCCCATCACAAAACATCTAAATGTGTTTTCAAAAGTATTTGATATCTTAAGGCATTGTTACTCTAGTATATACTTGAACCAGTTAGGTACATTTTCTTTTTCATTTCAAGGTATTAATAGTGACTAGATTTTAAATATTGTGAACAATGTTAAAAGTTTTAAAGCAATGATATTAATTGTTCTAACATTTGTACTTGGTGTCCCTCATTTTCTAGAGAGGTCTTGAGACAGCTGGGTCTAAACCCAGTAGAAACACCACTGTTTACAGTTATGTGGTGGGTGTTCTTAAAATTCCTTATTCATTTCTAGTGAAGCCTGCTTTTTTATTGTGTATCACAATTACCCATTTATTATTATTTTCCCAACTGATCTAAGTATGTCTGAATTATAGATGTTCCTCAGAGAAGTGCGATGGGAAATACAGCCAAGTCAGGGGTTTGGAGAGGCGAAGCTATAAATAAGTAGGTTTAAGGCAAGATGTGACTATGCCCACTACCCAGAGAAGAAAAATTAATATTTATCTTTTGAAGTGCAGTTTCCTGTGTATTGAAGCAGGGATATCAGTAGGAATCAAAATTTGGGAGTGGCTACAAAATACTGTTTCAATTTTTGGTACCTGCATTTTATAGGTTTATCATATTAATGGATGTTGGGGAGGAAGGATTTATGCTTCTTTGAAAGCAGTGATGTGAGAATTTCCAGAGAGCCGAGCAGAGCTGAGCCATGTTTACTCTCGGTGGTTGTGTGAAGCCGCAGGGCATTCAGCAGAGCGAAAAGCCCGCCCACGACTCAGTCAACCTCAGCTGAGGGTAGTGGCAGGGACCTTAACATCTACCTATTGACAGCCGCATTCTGCTCTTTGTGGAAACAGTAAGATCTTGTGGAGGTTCCAGAGAGCTCTGCACATTTAAAACGAGCAGAATGGGCTCAGATGGAGCACAGCTGAGCACTTTAATTGTACATTAAATGTTTACAAAGGTTAGCAACACTATGAAAAAGGAACAAGAGGGGAAGATACGCTGCAGCTGTTAAACTAAACAAGCACACAGGTAAAAGCTTTTACCTTTGGTGAAAAAAACAGATGGGGGACATTCGGGCATTTTCAGCATCTCCAGAGTCCCTTGGTACCCTGACACACGCAGACTCTGAGATGGAGAGCCGGCTGCCCTTGAACAGACCCGAGACGCCGGGTCAGCCATCCCTTCCAAAGACAAGAGCATTGGACTTATTGCCAACAGAGCAGCAACCCCACTTTGCACCTTTGGTTTATATCAATGATGATATTAACCTGGATGTGTGTGTGTGTGTGTGTGTGTGTGTGTAGCAACACTGTGAAATGGCCAATTAGGAATACCTGAATTATAATTTTGCGAGTATGATGGGGTGAAAAATGCAGTCATTTTCAATGTTTAATTTTCATTTGTATATTTAATATGTGAGTACATACGTGTTTTATTGTGGAGGAAGTGAAGTTTTTTGTGTTCTCCTTTTGGAAGGTGTGTTGTGATCATTGTCAAGGTCACCTGAAAAGGTCACAGATGAATCAATAAACATCTTTATAATATTTTGCAGAGGAAATTACTTTTCTTCTAAAAAAGAAAGAGGTTTTGTTTTCTTTTTTGAATAAACAATTCCAGGAGTACTTCTTTCTTTAGCAGGTTAATGGGCTGTTTTATCAGCATTTATATTATTTTAAATAAGTCAGCATAATGACCCTTTCTCTACAAAATGGAGATAAGCTACCCTGATGACATTCATGTTAAGTTAAAAATCAACACTTCCTTGATCTTCATTGATTTAGTCATTGACACGTACATTGTACCAGGGTTAGTGCTGAGGAAAAGAACACATTTGACTCAGAGCTGGCCCAGGAGCCATGGGGGACACGGGCTCCTACAATTACAGCAGAGGGTAGAAATCCCAATAGCGAATGTGCACACAGAGCTATTAGACGAGGAGGCCTCGACTAGGGGGGCGTGAAGCGTTGTCAGAGCTTCTCAGTGAGAAGATGCTAAGGCAAGAATTGAAAATGAGTAGGAATTTTGACTCCAGTTCAAAACTGGACAATGGACACAAAGCTGTGATTTACATAAGAGGCGATACGTATGGTTAATAAATGTAGAAAAATGTCCTGCCTAATCAGAAAAGTGCGAAATTAAAATTAAATTCTCAAGGACCAAACGAAGTATGACTCTCAATAACAGAGGCTCTGATGAAGTAAGAGCAACATGAATATTCCCCTGGTGAGTTTGTCAGTGTGTCCACCTTTTCTTGATAGCAACCTGACAGTACAGTGGGGCCTTGACTTACCAGTTTAATTCGTTCAGAGACTGAGCTCATTAAGAAGCTCGTTAAGGAGCTCGTTAACTCAAATTACTCTGTCAACTCAATGCAAAAAATCGGCGGAGAGACAGCTGGTATCAAAAAACTCCTTAGTCGGGACACTCGTAAGTCAAGGCCCCACTGTATAGATCAAGAGCGTAAAAGTGTTCTTTTCTACTGTTCCGGTAACTCCAACTTAGAATTCTCTCCCAGAAAACTATCAGAGGGGTGGGCACAGTTATGTACAAAACCTCATTTACAATAGTTAAGATTTGGAAACAGCCTAAGTGCCCATCAGCAGATGAGTGGATTAAAAAACTGTGGTACATCTACACAATGGAACACTATGCTGCCACAAAAAAAGAAAGAACTCTTACTGTTTGCAACAGCATGGATAGACCTGGAGAGCATTATGCTAAGTAAAATAAGCCAGTCAGAAAAAGGTAAGTATCACATGATCTCACTCACTTGTGGAATATAATGAACAACAAAACTCTTCTTTGTAGCATTATATATAATAGCACAAAAAATGAAAAGGAAACCATCTAAACGGCCAAAGCAAGGGTTAAACAAACTCTTTAGAAATATCATACACACACACACAAACATATATGAACATTGTACAGCCATTAAAGAATGTTTTCAACTCATTTATGAAAAATGAGAAGAAAGCTTCTAGTGCAATAGTAGGAGGAAAAAAAGCATGATACAAACTGAATATGATCCATAAAAGTACATATGTAGAAAATACCTTGAAAAAATAAATGAAAGTGTGAACCAGTTACCTTTTTTATGAATATATTTTACATAATTCTTTGTATTTTCCAGGTTTAAAAATAAATCCATATTTCTTTTACATGAAATTATTTTTCCTCCCTCCTACCCCCCCCCAAAAAAATTAATTTTTAAAAGAATGAATAGAAATGGGCCGAGCAAACCACGGGGAAAAGGCACGAAGGAAAGCTCTCCAGTCTAAGGAATGGTGTGTGCAAAGCCACAGAGGCATAAAGGAGAAGGCCGTATCCAGGCTCCGTTAGTAACTCCATTGGCAGGGATTTGGGATTATGAGCAAAGGAGGCTGGCAAAGAAGCTGAAAACAGAGGCAAGTTTCCCATCATAAAGGGTGTTGGGTGCAGCAGGGAAGGGCTGCAGCTCTGTGAGGCCTGGATACGCACTGCAGACTGTGAAGCCAGGGTGCAATCAGAACGGAGGTTGCGGAAGATCATACCGGTGGCCCAGATTGTGGACGGGGCAGGTGGGGGCGCCAGATGGTGGATGTAGGTGTGCTGGGCCCTGTGCAGCTATGTGCAGTCAGGGGACTAGACCAGGGCACTGACTAAAGAAGTGAGTGGGACCCAAGTACAGCCCTGGTCCTGCTTTCCTGGCTGTGGGCTGCATCAGCTCGGAGGAAAGTGCCCCTTTTTATGACCTTTCTATTTGGAGGGGCACAAAGACCCCGAATATGCAGGGCCCGGAGTGCCCTCCTGCAAGGGAGGGAAAGAGGCGAGGAGCTGCTGAATTCAAGCAGTGGGAGGGAGGGATGGGTCGAACAGCTGTAGTAGGTACAGCTGATGGGAAGGATTCCAGCTTGTGATGACTCCGTCATGCCTTTTGTTCCTTCAGTTGCATTAACAATTTCCTGCTTCTTAGTTTCAAAGTTTCAATATATTCAGAAACAAGTTAGGAAAGGAAAAGATTCTGAAAAAACTCCCATTTCCCCCAGTGTATCTGAACAAAAGATTGCAGCACTGAATCCAGGGACGTTTCTGGGTCATCTCTGGACTTTAATTATGATACTACCCAGCCAAGTGCATTAGGGCCAACTATTAGGAAGGTTCACTTTGTTCAGAAATCCATCAAAGGTGACTGGGCCAGGCCCTACTGAAACTTTAGGGGAGAGAAGGAATCCCAGAAATGCCAAGATGACCCTGGAACTCACCAGCCACGCAGCCTCCTTGCTCACGGTCTCCAGGCTCCAGCCCAGCGCTTCTCCAAGCCCGTGGTCTGGACCAGCATCACCTGGAACTTGTTAGAAATGTAGATTCTCCGGCCCCACCCAGACCCACTGGATCAGAATCTCTGGGAGTGGGGCCGGCAAGCTGTGTTTTAACAAGCCCTCCAGGTGATTCTCATGCCAGTTAAAGTTTGAGAACCACTGCTCCATGAAAAAAAAAAAAGCCAATAAAATAAAATATGCAATAGACTCCATTTATAATGTTCCTCTGCTCTCTGGATCTCAGATCTAATCACTCACACCTGACTCCCTCTATTCTATTCAACTATATTTCTCCTTTTCCCCCTAACAACTAACATGTACTGGAAACATGTTATAAATATACTAGAGGCCCAGTGCACGAAATTCACGCGGGGGGGGGGGGGGGGGCCTCAGCCCGGGCTGGACCCTTTCGTAATCCAGGACCCCTCAGGGAATGTCCAACTGCTGGATGTCCTGATGCCTGTTCCATGTTTCCATGCCTGTGCATTGAGTGTCTGCCCCCTGGTGATAATTTTGTCATATATAAAAGCCTAAGCGAACGTTACAGCCACATGACCTGAATGACTGGTCAAGCAGTCACTATGATGCACACTGACCACCAGGGACAAGATGCTCAATGCAGGAGCTGCCCCCTGGTGGTCAGTGCACTCCCAGAGCCAGCCTCCCACGACCGGCTGGTGGCATCAGCATCCAGTGTCTGTTCCTTCTGTTCTCAGTCCAGCGACCGTCGCCTCCTCTCCTGACCCCTCCGAGGCCTTTGGCCCTGGGCTGGGATGGGGAACCGGGGGGTGGGTGGCAGCTGACACGGCCCCTTTCCCAGGGGGGCCGAGGGCCGGCTTCCTCCTCAGGGTCAGTGGCCAACCTCCTGCGCGCCCTGTCCCTCCCTCCGGCTGGCAAGCCCTGATTGGTCCGTGGTCCCTCCCCCAGCCCTCCTGCCGACCAACAGCTCCAATCAGCCTGGCCCTGATCAGCCTTGGGTGCCGGCCAGGCCTAGGGACCCCACCTGTGCACGAATGTACACCGGGCCTCTACTATACTAGTACATATATTGAATAAAATGTGTTCTCTTCCATAATCTCCCCCAAACATAAGTATCTCCATTAAGAGGCTATAACTTGGACAGGGAGTCCTCTGTATCTGATGAGGAATGTAAGGATTTTTTCTTAGGCCATCCAAAGGTGAAAATAGTAAATGCAGGAGGGAATATTCTTGTTCCATATTTATCCCTACTGTCCTAGAAACTATGGAAAAAAACTTGCTTCGATTCTATCCAGGAAATAGCAATTCACAATTAACCATGTAAAAAGTTTGTTTACTAGGCAATTTTAATGTGGTTAAAACAACCTTATCTTACTGGAGCGGAGTGTTTGGTTCCCTCTACTGTAATTCCGTTCATGAGTGAGGCTGGAATTGCCATTCTGGGTATTTCCAGGACAGCTTCTAGGTGGAGGAAAGCTGAACTTACAGGTAAGGGGTGGGACTGGAATTAGGGCTTGCTCTCCCTGCCTTTCCACAATTGCCTCACTCAAGGTGAAGTTTTCAATCTTCCAGACCAGCGGTCGCCAACCTTTCGGACTTCACGGACCACCGGTTGGCGACCGCTGTTCCAGACAATTTTTAAAAACTGCATGTAGTCAGGAGAAGGTGTTTAGAATCCATCATGCTCTGGTTACATATACTCTGTATATGGGAGAAGAACTTAATTTTTTTTCTTTTTGCTACCTAAATGCTAAAAACAGTAAGTACAATAAAGCACAATCAAGTCAAATCTGGTAAGAAAGTATATTTTAAAGTCAAGGTCATCGGACCTTATAATGATTCATAGAAAGTATTTAGAATCCAATTGGAAACACAAGACAAATTAGAAGTTAAAAATAATATAATGTCATGCAAATGTTACCAAGTGCTACAGTATGGGTCTTAGATTTTAGCGCAGCAAAACTCCAAATCAAAGATAATTACAGTGGGGCCTTGACTTACGAGTTTAATTCGTTCCGAGACCGAGCTCGTTAAAGAACTCGTTAAGGAGCTCGTTAACTCAAATTACTCTATCAACTCAATGCAAAAAATCGGCCGAGAGACAGCTGGTATCTCAAAAAACTCGTTAGTCGGGACACTCGTAAGTCAAGGCCCCACTGTATTTAGGATTAGTCTTATAGAGCATTGTATAGACACCTGGGCAAACAAAGAAGTTCATAGCTTACCAACATCAATTTCTTATCAGTACAAAATAAGATATAGAAAAAGTAAGTGCCATTCAACACAATTTATAATGAATTGGGA